TTTTTTTTTTTTTTTTTTTTTTTTTTTTTTTTTTTTTTTTTTTACTAACAATCTTTTTACTGACATTTTTACTGTTGTGTTTTACATAATGTAAATGTAATATGTCTGCCAAGCACTGGGCAAGAGCCAGGTTCAAATGTATGGGTTTAATACCAACCATAGTAAAAAAGTTTGGTTGTCAGTAAAATATTTGCAGACTGTCAATTAAAAAAATGTCTTGGGTTGGCAACCCTTCTTGACTGCAGCAATGGTTTTACACTATGCCCCCACCTCAGGGGGCCATACTGACCTCCACATCCTGATAACCTTGCCTACACCGTGCTGCCCCCTATAGCAAGCCCCTCAGCCCTGTGCCTGCTGGCCCTGTTATCTACCTACCTGCAACTCAACAAGCATCACAGGCAAGCAGCTAGATGCTGCAGGAGCAAAACATGTCTGGGGAGGGGAAGGCGGGGAGGACAGAGGGCTTCAGCCACAAAGCCTCAAGAGAATGTACTCTGCAGGGTGCTGCATTTCTGCTAAGGCAACAGATGCAACTGATCTGCTCTGCCTGTGCACCAGTCTTCTGAGGAGCTTCAATCAAGTCTCATTCTGAGGAGCTTCAATCAATAATAAGCTCAGGGCTTATTAATTTTTTACAAATATCTCTATTTTTTGATGGACTTTATAGACAGGTGTCTTTAGGCTTTGGCGACGTGTAGCGCCAACCGCAAAACCGGAAGTGCTGGCAGGGAACTCTCCCCTCCCCCCCAGTTGCCAGTCAGCCACAGGGAGACACACCCCCTGGTTGGTGACTCAGGGGCCACTAGCTGCCCATGCCTGGTGCCCGAATTCCAATTAAAACAACAACAACTTTGTTTTGTTCCTTTAATCATGCAAGTTATTCATTTGTCTTGCCCATCCTCTTTTCCTCACTCCTTACCATTTTTCATCAGCATGCACTCTGACCAGGTGTAGTGAAATGAACAGGTAAATGAATATTTATTTTCTGTAATTGGCTGGAAGTAGATGCCTGTAATAGCCATCCAAAATAAATACCCACAGATCCCAAGGTAATGACCCACAGAACATTTAAAAATACGTTTCTAACAATGGCTTGGCATATATTAGACCTTTCTGCTGAAGTATAAAAAAAATTAA